GGGCAGGGGGAGAGTCGGGAGAAGCGTGAGGGCGAGCAGACACAGCCACCGCGGTCGCCACGAGAGGCTGAATATGGCTGCTGGGATTCACGCTGCGCTCCCGCTCATACCCCCCACCTCTTCTCTTTTACCCTGTTAAAATAAAGATTAGGTTATTTGTGTAGCATTCGGCGGAGGTTGCTATGGTTTGAGGGCATTTTTTTTAAGTGCAGAGTGGGTTTGGGGAATAGGGATTACAATATAGCCCAAAGCCTTTCTAGAGACTCAGGCTCTGGAATCTAGTTAAGAAATAAAAGGGAATTTAGAAGAGTTGACGAGGAGAAATGAAGTTGGGGAAAAGCTATGTTAGACCTTTGCACCTCAGTCAGGTGTTGGGCAGGTGGAAGTAGGAGCGTGCATGTTTTGCAGTGGCGTTTCATGGGACAGATGTGGAGTGCTGCTGTTTTTAGTTTTTTGTGTTAACAGTTTGATAATTATAGGTATTCTCAGTAAGCAAATATATATCTCCTGGCATTGTCACCTGCACTAACACCACTTGCCTGGCTTTTGCTGTCTCTCCTTCGCACCCCACCAAACATCTCAGCGCTTATGTTCTTCTTGTGATTTGCCAAAATGTTAATAGCAACCGTTGTGAAGCCAGGGTGCTCCCTCCTGTAAAGGGACCCATGAAAATCCCCCGCAGAAGGACAAGAGAAATCTGTGAGGTTTCCCTAGCTGAGTTACCCCAGGACAGGGTAGGATGCATCCACACAAGCCCAATAGCTGTTGGCATCGTAAGGGTCTGTGTGGTCCTCGAGATGCGTGGAGACCCCACCTAGGTGTGCTGTCCTGGATCTGTGCCTTCTCTGTCGGATCCCAGTAAAGCAGCTTCAACAGGCATCTAGTCTCTCTTATGTAACATATCTTCAGAAAGGAAATATTTGTCCAAGACTACTTCTGAGTTGGAACATATGACTATTCTGGTTTAAAAGCAAGGTATGTGGACAGAGAGGCAGCCTGCTAGCGTTAAAACGGAGTGGCTGCCAACAGCTGCTCTGCCAGCGACGCAATGGTTGTACCGCTGGCGCTGCGGGATACCTGCCTTGGTTGCTGCTCCTGTTGCTCCCAAGGGTCATACCCCATGCAGCAGGGTCTCACTCTGCAGAAGGAATCTGTATGCTTGGACCTCAACAGACCACTTAGAAATAAAATTGTGAAGGAAAGGATGCACGACTAGACAGCAGAAAACCTCTCCTTGTCCCTCTGAGGACCTCAGTCACATGGAAAATGTTGGTTTTCAATGTAATCCCCTTTGGACACGTGGCCATGCTCACCAGGTGACCGTCCTGGGAGGGTACCCGGCAGTCTGCATGCTCAGCAGAGGTCGAGAGCTGGAATAGCTGGTGTCAGAGCAGGGTTTGCTGGCAGTGCTTCGCTCTGAAGATTAGACTGCTCCTGGCCTTAGTCAGCGCTGTTAATCCACCAGCTAGATCCACCCCGCTAATTTGGATGAACCCATTTTTAAAAATCGATTGTTTGTTAGAAGGAAATTCACAACTTATCTGCTCTTCTGATGCTAAAAATTTCTGGGTTTTTTCCCCCTATCATTCTTCAGTTTTACATGAAGCAGTCAAAGGAATCTCACCAAATTAACTGGACCAAGTTTCCCCATATAACTTTCATAGGATAACTACTCTCATGCATTTCAGAATAGCACTTTGGCTGGAATAGCCAATAAAATTTAGTTTCTCTGTTCATTCAATTTGAAAAGAAGAGACACAAACACCAGCTGTCTTCCAGTGTCTTTGGGCATGTCTTGTTTATGATAAGCACAATTTAGTTCAAGTTCTGTGTTAGTCCACTGCATGGGTCACGTGTTACCATCCTTACTCTGTGCAAAGCTATATGTATGAAAATCTGTGTCAGAGTTAAGCTTTGAGATTAATCTAAAACCGGAAAGTATTAGAGACTGAAGTTTAAAATGAATAGAAAGATTCGTGAATGAAAATATAAACAAAATATTTAGAATATTTATATTAAATAGCCCACACAAAGCACGTTTAGATAAAAAGTGAAAAGTCCTTTTTCAGTATACTAGAATTGGATGCCTCTCAGGAAAAGCCGAACTAACATGAATTAAAGCAGAAAGACATTGGTCCTTTGAGGTCTGTCTGTTAGCTTCAGTTTTATGCTGCAGCCTCTCAAAAAAGCTATGATGGAAACATGGTGAATCCTGGCATCGTTGGGATGGCTCCTGATCTGGGCATCATCTTACACTGTTGCCTTTAAGGCTTCCATCAAATACGAGCAGCTACCATGGCACAGATGAGCAGCAGGCGCTGGCTGCTCTCAGGCTCCCTTTCTGTTTCTCCCCAAGCTCTTTGCAAGGACAGCAATTCCTCCCCGTAGCTATTTTTCTATCAGACTTCTGGGATCTCTCTCAACATCTCCAGCAACAGTTCGTGTCACTTCCCCAGCCCGAGGTGGTGCCCCCCCCCACCTTGTGCCTGACCCCAGGCCACCAGCCTTCTCACTTGCTCTTCCGCTTCTGCTCTGCCTCTTCTCAGTCCTGGCCTCTGCTTAGTGTCTATCCCGGTCCGTAACTGTGTTTATTCCCTCCACCCTGGCTTTGTCATTGCTCAGCTGCCGTTCTCCCTTGCTCCTGCCCCCTTACCAGCTCTGTTCCCTGCAGAGGATAGATGCGCAGATATATAGAAAATCTTCAACTGAGGAAACCATGGGCTCATTCCTGTTTGTTGGTGCACACAGGGTCACAGCAGAGGTGCTTGCGTGCTTCAGTGTTC